CTCTCTCCTCTCTCTCTCTCTCTCTCTCTCCCCTCCCCCTCCCCGCTAACTCTGCTAACTCTGACGTCACTAGGCCGCCCCCGTCCGTCATCGACCGACCGACCGACCAGCATTACGACGTCACACGTACCGCCAAGGACGACTCTATTTCGGGCGTTATGCATTGCCGTCCTCGTCGCCGTCTTCGCCACCACGATTCGACGTTGTCGTCGTCGTCGTTGGCGACCGGTGGTGCCGTCGATATTACGCGTTGCCGCGTTCTCGCCTCCGGTCACGAGATTCGCCCGAGTTTTCATCGTCGTCACAACGTGGTCTCCACGCCAACGAAACCACGCGACGGGAATTCGTCGCGAGAATTCGTCGTCACCGGCCTCGTCTCGATCCTACCCCGCCAACGGTGACGCAGTGAGCAGCAACACGCGCGCATACACACACACACACACGCACGCACACTGTTGGCGGCTCTCGACCAAGTTTCGAGTGTTTACGAAAGTTTCGAACGTGCCTGTGCGCGCCTCGCCGAATGAACCCGTTCCTCGAGCTTCTACTCGTGCATCACGGAACCAGCCTCGCGTCGATCCATCCTCCCTCGTCGTCACTTGGTCGTCGTCGTCACAACCGGTGTTCTCTTCCTTCGAAATGAGGTAACATTCAATCGATTCCCCGTTGCCCCGTTTCGTTTTCCTCGCTATTTCTCGCTATCGATTCCTCCGAGTAACGAGGAATCACGCCACGGCTACGCGTTCAACGACGCGCGATCATCGCGAAGATACAGACGGATTCGAGAGGTATCGCGTAGCACCAAGACGATGATGATCATCGACAATAACGTAACGCGATGAACGAGAGATTCTTCGAGTCATCGTCCGCAGATAAATGGATAAAACGTAAACGAGACGAGTTTATACCGTGTGTGCATATATATATACGATGAATTCGCGTATTCGAGATGCGAATCTCTCTTATTTATTCTTCCCTTTCCTCCGTATCTGAAATATACTCGCCATCTAAACGATCGAAATCCCTTCGAACCGGGATTGGAATCCCGGATTGGGATCACCGGCCACGCACGTGAAACGCGCGCGTTTCGAGCCCGCGGCCTTGAAATTTTGCGCGTCACGTGGTAACGTAACGTAATT